TGAATTAAAATGAACGACACATGTTCTCTTATAAAATCCTTTTAAATTAATTTTCTATGAACTTCTCTTTACCGTATTTTAAATCGATACAATTAAATCGTAATATAAGTCACAATTTTAACTATTCCCTTAGATGTAAAAGTTGAAACGAACGGTTTAAATGAAAAAGTTATAATATTGTAATATTACTGATAGCATTAATAGCAATAATAATTGTGGTGGGTAGCGTAAACAGGTTTTTGATGTGTCGATAAAATATCGTTATATTATTTGACGATTGAGAAAAAGATAGAGAAAGATAAAACAAAAAGAGAAATAAAATAAAATAAAATAAAGTAAAGTAAAGTAAAGTAAAGTAAAACGAAGGAAGGAAGGAAGGAAGGAAGGAAGGAAAGATAGAATGGTAAAAGGAATGTTTGAGGATACTTCGATAGAAAAACTTCTTTTATATCTTAGAAACTTCTTCTACTTTTTCTTTCTCAGGATTCGCTTCTGACGAGTTTATGGCTGTCATCGAAGATGCATAAAAAATGATACCCTACCAGTACCCAGAATCACCATCACCACCACCACCACCAATGTTATGACATAACTTTCTCTCTTTCTCTCTCTCTCTATCTCTATCTCTATCTCTGTCTCTTTCTCTTTCTTTTGAACGATTCGAACCACTCGAATTACTTTTCGTCTCGACTAAGAGAGAAAGGAGTTTTCATCACTTTCCAATATACACGACAACTTTTTACTGTATACCACCATTACTACCACAACAACAACAACAACTACTACTATTACTATTACTATTACTACTACTATTACTAACTATCACTATATTGAGCCTTTACACTCACCAATCGAACTGTAAGACAAACTTCTTTTTCTTTTTCTTCTTCTTCTTCTTCTTCGAAGTAGAGGACGTCAATTTTGTCGCGAAACGTCAACGGAAAAACTTTTACACTTCTCTCTCATCACCTAACCCTCCTGCTCTTTCATTTCACTTTTTTCTATCCTCTCT